TTTTTATAGTCAAATCTTGGTCGATTGTCCTAATTCCTTGTTTAATATTTGCTATAAATTCCCCTGAGAATTCCTTGTTGTTGATGCTAAGCTTGAAGTATTTTTGCTAATTTTCTTTCTTCCAATTTATCATATGTAGTCGTAATAATTCGTTAAAATTCAGGTTCTTCTATTTTCTCATATCTACTTGTCATATGGGGTTTTGTGATTTATCTGGCATATTTCCATAATGGGTTTCCATAGTGTGACTGTTATTTCTCCTACAACATTACCCTCATTCAGGGTTTTTGACAGTGCTGGTACTGAATTGGTCCAGCCCAAAAACTACGCTTGGCACTACAGGCTGCTGAGAGACGATCAAGGGCTCAAAAAATAGAGAAAAATCATAAACATGGATTCCCCGAATTTCATCCAGATTGACACAGCTGTTGTGGAACAATGGTGGTGACAATTTCTCATCTTACCACACACAATGTCGAAAGGCATGTGAGAGTGGCAGTGTCGAAAGTCCTGTGCAAGATCTGTACTTTGGGAGATCGTGAAACTGGTTTTTGGCCCAAAATGGTAATCACAAGCCATACTGAAGTAAACAAACAACCAAAATGCACTCTGGAGTGCTCAGAAAAATTCAGAAAAATCACAAAGGATGTACATATATGAAGATCCAATTGACACAGGGACTCTTGCAGACACTTTCTGGGACATCTAACCCTGCGCACGGGCCAATTTCACGATTCTCACACCCACCACTTGGGGAATTGAATGGAAAGGTTGGGAAGGGATGCTACAGGTAGGAAGAGACAGATAAGTGTGGTGTGATGGTGGAAATTGGTGGAGGATGGCAATTGTTACTGGATATGGCTTGCTTATCACTCCTGTTTTTCTTTTATTGAACCTCCACATCAGCTGTTGAACTTATCGGCCATACTTAACGGTCCACATGGTGCCTGTAATAATAATCTTTTATTTTATATTTTCTTTTCATTTGTTTTTCCACATTATTGCCGTTCCATGTGTTTAAAAGCCCTGTACATGTAGGAATGAAAAGAGACCTCCCTTTTGACTACAAAAGAGACTGTAGTGCTGAGATATCCAAGTAGAAAGAGAAACCCTAAGCTTGACTCCTTGAGTATTATAAGGAATCCCTGACAATTGTCCCAGATTGTTATGGAAATGGGATTTTCCCATTCTTAGCCTCTTATGGGCTCTATGCAGTACAATATCATGTGACATGTAAATAATAACAACTTAACCAACCAAAAACACCCAATGTCAATGTCCCTGTAAACCTCATTGTTACAACCTCTGCCATATTATCTGTAACACCATTTCGATGTCACAACCCCTCCCTGCACCCAGATGCTATATAAATGGGCCAATTAGGCCCCATTTTTATAACAAAGATGGACCAGGGGTACGTAATTCTTAAAGAGTTTTTTGTGATTGTTTTTGTTTTGTTAGCACCCAGACTGAACCTAGGATGAGCTGAGGACATCCTAGACTCCCTCCCCACGAATTTGCTTGCATTTAGGGGGTTAGATCTCTAGCCTGCTTGCAATGCAATGCATCTACTTCTGGGTTGCTTGCCCAAATAATCTCTCTCCCACCACCGGTCCCTCCCATTGCGATTCAAGGGCTTCTCGAGTCTGTTTCTCTGGAATATGGTCTCAACCTGGAACAAGATCATGCATTTCGATTGGTCACAGATCATGCAATCCTCTTGCATTGTGAACATGAGCCTTTGTACATGGGTGGGGTGGGGGGCACTGGCAAATCACAAGTTATCAAAGCTTTGTCCACCTTTTTCATGAAGAGGAATGAGAACCACCATTTGCACTTATGTGCTTTCACTGGGGCTGCAGCCAAGAACATCAGCAGGTGCACTTTGCACTCTGCCCTGAATTTGTTGCAGCTGCACCAGATGCTCAAATCAAATGGCTCTCTGTCAGGGATCAGCAATGACCCTGGACCCTATGCCGGCTGCATGCATGCGCGTGGGAAGTATGCTGGTAATTCCCATCTACTGCGCTTACCTAAGCCCCGGTGACCCGGATCATCTCCGGCATTGTTCTGGAACATTCTATGATCACGTGATTCTATTGGCAATCTGTTTGGTTTCCTTATTGCCAGACTCTACATGTATATAGCTGACCCTAAGATGGGGACATCCCTTTCCCCTGGCTTTAATCACAACTAGGTTATCGGAGCATCTTGCGCAAGCACGCGCATCCCCTGACACTCTCAAAGTCGTACTGATCTAATGCACTCTTGGAGTGGAGTGGACTACTTATTCGTTGATGAAGTGTCGATGATTGGTTGTGAACTCCTCACTGACATTAGTGCCGTGTTGTCATTGGCCAAGGAAAATACCAACACATTTGGTGGCATTAGTGTGATTCTGGCTGGAGACTTTTGCCAACTGCCAGACCACCAACCCAAGGCCCAGTGCAACCTGTCTCACTCCAATCTCCATTGCTTGGTTCTTTTGGGCCTGACCCCCAAGATTGATTGCAGTCCCTGGCATGTGAACTGGGGGAAGTCAGTAATGCCCCTTGGGGTAAAATGATAAACCTGCATACAAGATTGGCTGGACACCCCCAGCAACTTGGCTTTCGAAGATGCTGTTTCAGCATGCCAGAAACTCTGGGAGGCAGTGCACAAGATGGTCTCGCACTCTAGAAGTTGCAATCGGTTGAGTTCTTTGCAGAGGTCACCATTCATGTGTGTCATAATTCACCTGGAGTCAAACAGGCACAAAATGAGCAAACTATTTAGTCCAGTCGCTCGTGACAACATGACATATGCAGACTGAATTGAATGTGCACTCTCGAGATCAACAATTACCTTCAGCAGTGTTCTCCCTTAGGATTTGTAGTCAGTGATGCAAAACAAGGGTAACAATGGCAGCTGCGTCCTTTTGACTGTCAATGTTTGACTGGCAAATGGGTGCATGACTTTGATTGGAATTGATTTGGGGAGAATCACACAATCATGAGTGGGCAGTGCTGTGAACATGCAATCACTTGAGTCTTCAATTTTTACCACACAACTGGTAGTGTATCACACACCTCATTTGTCAACATTATAATGCACAGATTGTACCAATCCTTCACTGCCATTCACAATGCCACCCCCAACATCAAAGTTCTCAGAAATCATGACCAGCATGTTAGGAAGCAAAGGTAGACGACCAATGGTGTACCCTGTCTGAGTGTCAGAAGGCAGATTTAACAACTGTTCGTTCAAGGCATCATCCACAATTCTACGGTTTTTGAGGCAATGCACTGCCTTGTACATTGACACCAGCAGTTCATGCACAGCTGCAAACATGTTGACAGCACACAAATTTAAAACATCTTTCACTGCATTTGATGAAGTGATAATTGGTGCTGTTCTCCATGCATCAGACAGCCTCACCTCTTCATGACATTTGTGAAGGAGGCAGGAATCGAGTAGGTCTTTGTCAGTGGCTGAGCAGTTCCCAAATCTCAATCTCCCCAACAGATCATGGAAAGCTGCATTGTGGATGCCATCTTGCTGCATGGACTCTTTGAGGAAGATGATGGTTTGTATGGACAACCATAACTGACACCCTTTCAGTTTCTTTTGGCCCTGATTGGAGCTGGAATCTGATGCCTTGTTCGTCATCATTTTAGCAGCAGTGTATAGTCTGGTGTAACCTACTGGTTGGTGATCTGGATACTGTATGGTGGATGGGACACTGATTCCGCTTGTGTCAAAACCTGGTCATTATGGCAAGCAATTTTTTGATTGCAAATACAACTACTCCCTTAGTCTTACAGTACGACACATCTTGATATATGTGTTTGTTTTACTAATTATAATTTGGTAGCTTATCACACTTCCCAATCTCCAGATTGTTGATTATGTTCTGGGCCCTCCTGGTAGTATGCATGATGCAACAGCTTTCCATGAGTCATGCATTGCCAAAGAACATGATCAGCTCTTCCATAATGGTGAGTGGGTGTGGGCTAACACTGCCTATGGCCTCACACCATGGTGTATTGTACCATACAAGGCTCCACTGTCTCTGACCCCAGAGAACTGTCAATTCAACTACTACCTCTCACATGTACATGAATTTTCAATTTCCTTGACTGTTATTTGCTCATGATTACACTAGGTCCACATCTGGTCTGAACATGCTGTTGGTTTCCTGAAAGGCTGGTTTCAGTCACTCAAAGGACTTCAGCAACAGATTAACTGTGAGAATGATCTTATGTTGGCATTAGCATGGATTCAGGCTTGTTTGATAATTCATTCTATAGCTGCTCAATTTGAAATTATGGAGGCTGAAGATGATTTCTGGGACTGGACCCATCTCGGCTTGGACAGACAGGAGGAGGGACTAGATGAGGAGGTGGATGGCTTTGTATGGACTCATCAGGAGCAGCATGTTGTGGGTGAAACAGAGGGGCAACAGAAAAGGCAGCTAATTCAGGAAGCCCTATTTGATGCATTGTACTAAAATCATATTAAATTGGAGTCTCAGAGACTAGTGCCAAAGTTTCCACTTGTGCTGGTCATGTCAGTTGGTCCCAGGAAAGTTGGTGTGAAAAGCATATCATGGGAAGCGCAGGAGGCCAACTGCATTTCCAATTCCAATTTCTTAACTTCCAGGTTTAGCATCTCTTGCTGGTGCTTTGTCAGGGGACAGACCCTGGGTCCCCATGACCCCTCTCTACAGTCCACAGTCTAACCTGTAAACACAGCCCATCTCAGGGCATAACTACTGTGGGTAAGAAAGTGATATAGATAAAGGCAAGTAATGTACACTTGCCTGCTGTGGGTAAGAAAGTGAGAAGAAGGTTAACTTCTCACTTTCCCACAGTGGCCCCAATATGGCAAAAACTTCCGGGGATACCTGGAAGTCACATGAGGTAGGATCCGGGGCTGGATCATGCAGCGCATGGAGCATGCAGTGCAGGAAGTGCACATGCAGGAAGTGTAGCAGGTCCAGACACGGGTCCGGGTCTGGGCTAGTCAGGGTGTGCCCTGACATGCTTCTGAGTTGCATGCAGTGTCCTCCACTGCTCCTGGACCAACAACTGCTCATGTAATTGCTCTGACTCCCAGTGTGTTTGTTCAAACTCAAGACAGCTTTGCTCATGAAACTCAGACAGGGCATCGCACTTTCCTTTTTGGGTGGGTTGTGCTGATCTACTGAGAGGAGTTGATACTGAGGGCAATGGTGTGTGAAACCTAGCAGCCCAAGTGGGTTGAGTCAGTGTACTCAATGTAGGAGTAGAGGCCTCTGATGGCACATATTTAGTCTCATCCAAATCAGAGAGCAGCACAAGGGGTGAGGATGGTGGTGGTGATGATCCAATTGGAGATGTGGAGGCAGCACTGGTGTCAAGAGGCAGGTCCTCATATGACACATGAATAAACAACAAATATAATGGTCACCAAATACACATACCAGAAGTTGAGAGTTGTCCTCAGAATTGCCCTCCACTACTGCTCCACCTTTTTCAGACAAGGAATTGAGGATGCCATCTAAATGGGTCGCAAGTTCCTGACCATCTGCAGTAGAGTTGCTGGTAGTCAGCACATTATACTTCGGTAATTCACACCAGATTGGGTTCAGATCATGCCACCAAGGGAAATCCTCCAGAATGGCATCTGTATACAGCATAAGATGCAAGCACAGACCATTTCCAAAAGCATGACTCACCAATTTGGTTAGCAATTTCCAAACCAATAGTGATCTCAATTTTGTCCAGACCAATCCCGGTTTGACTGAGAGTTTTGGCATGCTTTTTATACTCCTTGTGAAGACTAAAAGCAGGTGGGAATAGGGATTTAATGAGGCACAGTTGGACATACTTGTCAATGCGGGAATTAACTGCTTGTGTATACTTGGCCTTGTTTGCAAGAAAAAAAGGGTGCTCTGGTTCATCCTCCACATCCCAGATTGCAACAGAAACCTGCTCATGGTAGAACTTCTTAGTGCAGTGATTGGATACCTTATTGTTAGAACTAGGCGAGGGCAGACGATTCCAGAGGGGAACTGGAGACTTAGCAAGGAGGGACCTTGGCCTCAGCGACTCATGCGGAGCGCTGTGCCATTGCTGTTTGTCCATTTGGTCCTTAATTTCAGAAGCAGTGAGCAGGAAGTCTCTAGGGGGCATTTCTGGTCGATTTTAGACTGAAGGTCCAAAATGAGTATGTACAAGCACCTGTATATAATGGGGAGATGAGAGCACGAGGAAATCAAAGGAGGCCCAAATCGGAACAAAGGCATCCAAACAGGGACAAAGGGATGACGGAAGCAGATTGGCACCAAAGGTCATAGGTGTCATATCCATACAATCCCGACCTCCGCTCCGGGCTCCCGGAACTCCAAAACCGACTCCAGAGCCCTACTTCCCTTCCATCACCTTCTCCTTGCCGACTCCCAAGAGGTTATCCCACCTCCGGCTCCAACACCACCTTCAGTCCGACTCCGGAACATTCTGGGTCCGACCCCAACCTTGACACCTTCCAGACGAGTACACAACACCTATGCTCCTGACTCCGGACCTCCGCTCCGGAATCCTGTTTGTGTCTCCGTCTCCGGAACCTCCGGTCTTAGCTCCGACCTCAGACTTTGACCCCACCTCCGCTTATACCCATTGTATTGGTTAGCTCATTCCATTTAATCATGTTTGCCAATATTCCGGAGTTTAACTTCCGAGTTCGGACTTTCCGGACTTACCTCGGACCTTGCAACTATTGCATTGTCCTATTCAATTCCGCTATTCTCCCTCATTCCTATTTGGGCTGCTGCTTCCTTTCTATTCAGTCAGCTGGCCATTCCCCACTCCCATCCTCCTTCCTTCCTCCTTGGGCCTTGGCCCTTCATTCCTCCTTTGAGAAACACCATTGAGTCAAACCCTTGACCCTCGGTGTTGTTCCTCTTTCCATCTCCCTTTGTCTCCTTTCGTCCTACCCTTGTTCCTTTTGATTCCAGACCCTCCTTATATACAATGTACATAGTAACTTGTAACCTCAGTCCGAAATCAACCTGAATTCCCCCCAAGAGACTTTCCCTCTGCTAGATCCGAAATTAGGGACCCCTAGGACAACCAGCAATGGCACAGCGCTCCGCCTGAGTCGCTGAGGCCAAGGTCCTTCCACACTAAGTCTCCAATTCCGCTCTGGAGTCGTCCGAATCTGCAAGTTCTAACAATAGGTTAGTGTCAGGGACTCGTCCGGGGTCGAGGGGGTCCGGGTATAGCGTCCGGGACCGAGAGCCTGGCGGGGGGCAGATCGGGCGTGCGTACTGACAGGCCCGATGCGGGACAGTGGTCCCTGGCCACTTAGACTGAAGTGGAAGGTTGTTATTATCATTAAAGGAGAGATATTGTACTACTTACCTGAAGTGGAAGGTTGAGAAGAAGGCTACTTCTTCGGTTCCCACTTCAGGTTCGTTTATATACATGCGGCTTGGATCACATGATGGGTGCCACGTCACCCTCGCACACAGCCGTAACCACCTGGGTGTCTCCGTGGGAGATCCCGAGGGCATCCAGTGCAGGCGCGCGTGCTGGGCACAGCGGGAAGTCACCCGAGGTGCCCGGGCCGGGTACATGGTGGGTGCGCTGCAGGTGGGTCAATTGTACATTGATACAGAGAAAGTCGTCCATGTAGAATAAAGGGAGAATAAAGGAGAAGTAAGATAAGGAGAAACTGAGGAGGGGAGGATGAGGGGGAAAGAAGGGAAAGGGGGAGGAGGTAAGGAAGGGTGGACCGGCAGGGTACCGGGTCAGGTTGGGCCGGGTGGAGCCGGGTCAGGTGGGTGTGCCCTGACAGTTAGAACCTGTGGTACATCTGAAAGGAGATAGGGAGGGTGAAGCCCAGAGGGGCAGGAGGATGAGGTGAAGTGGGGATGATGACTAACTGGCTAGAATGGAGAGAAGCAGCAGTCCAAATAAGGATGAGGGGGAAACGTGAAAGATACATTACAAGTGGTGAAAGTGCCAAGTATGATCCATGGAGCTTGGAGGTTGCAGAGCTTACGGAGGTTGTGGAGGTGGGGTTGAAAGTCCAAGGAATGTTGGCAATGGTGTTTACGTAGTATGAGGTCACCAATGCAATGGACTTAGGCCGAGGTGGAGTTAAAGTCCGAGGTCGGGACTAAGATGGGATCTCAGAGCGAAGGTATGGGCGGTGTCCAAGTACAAGGTATGGGACAGCAGCAGAAGGTCGTAACTTGGCAGAGGTTTGGCGGAAGAGGGGAGGAGGGAGGAGAGTGATGAGAGGAGTGGGGAGAGGAGTGGAGGAGGAATGGTGTCAGGTCCAAAGGTGAGTATCGGAGCGGACGGAAGTAGGGTAGGAGAGGGATGGAAGGGTGGAGGTGACATGAGGAGTGAGGAGGAGTAAGAGGAGGAGGGTGGTGAGAGGAGTGATGTTCGGTCCGAAGGTGAATATTGGAGCAGATGGAGGTAGGGTAGGACTCTGGAGGTGATGAAGATGAGGGTCCGGGAGTCAGATTGGGATCAGGTATGTATGGATATGACACTTATGATGACAGTGGCTTGTCAGTGCTCAGTTGTACAGTTCTCCAAAAAACCGTTTCTGTCATATCCATCCCTGGCCAATGACTTCCGGTACCTCCGATCCCTCCGGTCTACCTCCGCTCCTTCTCCACTAACCTTGGAGTTTCCATATTCTGCAATCCCCTCGGTACCCCTCGATGGTCACCACCCCCTCCTTTCAATTTATTACCTACGCCTCCCTAAGTACGGAGCCCCGAAGACTTCCGGACAGCTCCAACGTCCGCTAGCGCACTCCCGCCTCCATTGGGCAATACACTCGCCTGCCCTGCAGAGCCCGCCTTTGGGTCTATCCCTCCTTTCCGTTTCTGGGTTATCGGCTGCCTTTCCGTTAACCCCACAACCCGACTCGTCGGTAATATTCAGTTGGCTAATGTTTAACCCCGTTAGCTCCGCTCCGTTCGGCTCCGCCATTTGCGGACCCGTCTTCACTATAACCATATATATATCCAACTTGTACATAGGTTACACTTCAGTAATAAAATCGACTAGAGTTTACCCCCCTTTCAGTTCTGGTTGCCAGTTAGTAAGTTAGGGCATGGACGTGTTACTTGGCACAGCGCTCTTGGCATAAGTCGCTGAGGCCGAAGCCCTCCACCACGGAGACTTTCCTTCATCTCAACCTGGTCTCTGACAGTTTCGATGTTTGGCACTTTTCACTTGATGGGCTTATAGTATTATGGAAACACGTTCTGAAATTCCCATAAAATCATGGAATATTACTTACTATCCCATCTACAAATGTACAAATTATCTAAGCAATATATTTATTTTTGGTAAAGTTATTCAATTTAAAAGGTGCCCATGTCATTGAAACAGTTTTTTGGAGTTGATTTTTGGGAGACGAAAATAGCATTTATTAATATTTGGTATAGCCACCCTTTGCCTTAATCACTGCCTCAATTCTCTTAGGCATACTTTCAATCAAATTCTGACAAATCCTTGGCTCTATCTTGTCCCATTCCTCTTGGTACTGATCCCACAGCTCATGAACACTATTTGGAGGTTCTTCATACTCCCCAAGCTTCCTTTTCACATTATTCCATAAGTGTTCGATTGGATTAATGAGGCGTTGGGCATGGCAAATGTCAGTCCCTGACAGCTTGCATGGATGCCCACCACTGGGCTTAGGGACATCAGGACAGTGTTGAGACCAGAGCTGAGTGATAGTGAAAGCTCCATGGCCAGTAGTAGATGCAATCTGGCAAGCACTGTGACCAGAATCAATGAGGGAAAGGACTTGTGCAGTTTGTGAAGCAGATAAGGCTTGCATTTTAGATTTGGGGGCATTATAATGCAAAATCCTTTGGTATTTATGCTCCAGCGATGTCAGTCCGTTTACTAGTGTGTACAGTAAACAATGTCACATGACTTGACATGTGATATTTTGTTTTTTAGGTTGTGCCAGGTGCACTCCAAAAAACCATTTCGATGACATGGGTGCCTTGTTAATTAAATAACTTTACCAAAAATGGACATATTGCTTAGATAATTTGCAGATCTGTAAATAAGATAGTAGGTAATATCCCATGATTTTATGAAAATTTTAAAATGTGTTTCCATAATGTTATAAGCCCATCAAGTGAAAAGTGCCAAACATCGAAACAGTTTTTTGGAGAACTGTATGTAGAGGCAGAAGAATAGATTTTACATACCTTGGACCTATCTTCAGATGCAGCCAACTTGGTAGAATCCCCAAACAGTTTCAAGCAGATGTTAGTGTTCTCAACAATAAAAGCAACTAGACGGTCTGTCCAGTGTGAATTGCCGAGCCAAAGCACATGTTGGGAAGATTCATTCTCAGTTTTTGGGAGTGCTGGTAATGGCTCAGTGGTGGCTGGTGGCTCAGGTTCTAGCCCAGGAACTTTTTTTTCGCACTTGGAATGGGGTGGATTTGCTGAGTCAGTGTAGGGGGTTGTGTCAGGGCCCAGCCTCAGACTCGGAGGCTCCCTGACCTCAACCCCCATCTAAACCGTCCTCACACTATGCGGGGCATGAGATTATAGTAAAGGAAATAGAATATGTACACTTGCCTATGCGGGGCATGAGATGAGAAGAAGGGTAAAGGTCTCATCTCCCCACATGGTTGCTATATAAAGGAATGGGTCACATGCCCACAACTATACAGCTCCTAGAGTTGTGTAGTGTGACCCGGAGGGAACATCCAGGTGGCAGTGCCCAGTAAGCGTGGGAACGTTCTGGGCGAGTTGCTTGCCCAGAATTGTGGCTGTGACCTGTGGGAACATTCTGGGCGAGCTGCTCGCTCAGAAAGTTCCCATGCTATCCTGTGCACATGTGTACACAACACACAAAGGCAACAACAAGGCAACAGTCAAAGAATAAAGGGGGTAAAGTAGGTGGGGAGTCCGGGGCACCCTAAGGCAGGGTGCTGAACCCTGACAGGTTGGTGTAGGTGCCAACCCTGGTTAGCCTAGTTCCTCAGGCTGTCAACAAAACTAACTTGTATGAAGTTGTATTTGCAACAGTTGTGGGAGGAAAAGGCTAAGTTGCTCTTTCCACTTTCCCACACTATTGTATGTACATTGTATATACATGTTTATTAGAAGACAATTATACAATAGGAAATTGGGAAA